GCTTGCAGCGGGCGCCATTGACGTCGCCCTCGAACCATCCATCGTACCATTCAACTTTTGATCGTCCTCCTCCTTCCTATCTCTATGCAATCCACACACAACAGCTCCCATGACATTTCCTCGAACCACTGACCGCATTAAGCTTCCCCATTTTAGTCCCCGCTCTCGACACCTTTTCCTCCGTTTGTGATTGATGCAATGCCACATGAAGCAATACCAGGTGCCTTGGTGGGAACTGCTTATCCAACCCCGGCTTTTGCTTCATTCTGTGATGCAACGTCCCTTGAAGTCCAGAACCGCTCTGCCTATCAGTGCTATCGCGACCCGGATTTGTCTCGGTAGTAGTCCTGGGGAAGATAAACTGTCCTTCTGTCATTGATGTTAAAAGTGTCGACAGCTTCCTGTTTTGTTTGATGTCTGCAATCTCGAGGCTCTGTTGTCGGTCTGTGCTTCTCCTCGGGACAGCAACTCGACGGCACGAGTGCTCTGTGTAACAGATTCGACAGTCCTTGTTTCTGAGTTGGGGTTACATTGCTTCTCTGACTCCTCAGCCGCATCCTTCCGTCATTATCCCGCCAGGGCACGCGACATACTTCGAAGTACGTCAACATCAACCATGGGCGACATCCAAGGCAACGAGAAGTCGGTCGCCGTCCACAATGTTCCTGGTGGTCGCTCCGTCTCACCGGTGAACATAGAGGAGCGGCGGGCCTCGGTGTCGTCTACCGCCGCCGCAAAGAGAATCCTCGAGCATAGCAAGGATGCCGACGAGGCGATGAAAGCTTTCGCCTCGGGCGAAGTCGTCGAGATTGACGAGGCGACTAACAAGCGGCTGTTGCGCATAATTGACTGGCATCTCATGCCTCTGCTCTGCGTCGTGTATGGGTTGAATTACCTCGATAAGACGACCTTGTCATATGCCAGCATCATGGGCATCAAGACGGACATCAACCTCGTGGGGGATGACTACCAGTGGCTGTCCAGCATGTTCTACTTTGGCTATCTGGCTTGGGAGTATCCCACAAATCGACTGTTGCAGAGACTTCCACTTGCCAAATACTCGGCCTTTTGTGTCGTGGGCTGGGGCGTGGTGCTGGCATTGTTTGCCACCGTCTCCAACTTTGGCGGTGCTGTTGCTATACGATGTACGTGTCGTTCTTTGTGATGCTGTATCTGCCCTCGATGCTGTTCGTGCGACCGTCTGACGACGAGATAGTCTTTCTCGGCGTGATGGAATCAGCCGTCACTCCAGGATTCGCCCTGTTCACTTCTCAATGGTATACGAAGCGCGAGCAAGGCACCCGAACGGGCTTCTGGTTTTCCTTCAACGGCTTCGGCCAGATCTTTGGCGGGCTCGTCGCGTATGGGATCGCCGTCGGTGCTCGCAAGCACGGGACTGCCATTGCTCCCTGGAAAATCGTTTTTCTCGTCAACGGCTGCCTGACCGCCGTGCTGGGGGTGGTATTTTTCTTTGTCATGCCGGACAACCAACTCAATGCGCGGTGGTTGAAGCCCCGTGATCGGGTGTTGGCCGTCGAAAGAGTGAGGATCAACCAGCAGGGTATCGGCAACAAGCACTTCAAGTGGTATCAATTGAAGGAAGCTCTCTTGGATCCACTGACGTGGGCTTTCACCTTTTACGCCCTCACTGCCGATATCCCCAATGGAGGCATCAGCAACTTCTTTTCACAATTGGTAGGTATTCCTGTGTGATTCTCGTTGCCTGCGAATATGCAAGCCTATGTCGGCGCTCCTTCTAATGTCCTTTTAGATCGTCTCCTTTGGCTATACACCCGAGCAATCTCTGCTGTACGGCACGCCTGGCGGCGCGGTCGAGGTTGTGGCCCTCATGTTCTGTGGGTGGCTCGGCGATCGCCTTGGTCAGCGGATTCTGGTTTCGATGGGAGGTCTGTGCATCGCGATGCTAGGCATAATCCTCATTGTTGCACTGCCCCTGGGCAACAACGCGGGCCGGCTTGCGGGTTATTATCTCACCCAAGCGTCTCCCACACCTTTTGTGGCGCTGCTCTCCCTCATCGCCACCAACGTCGCCGGCTACACCAAGAAGACGACCGTGGCAGCATTGTATCTCGTCGGCTATTGCGTCGGGAATATCATCGGCCCACAAACCTTTAGGCCAAAAGACGCGCCCCAGTATAGGCCGGCTGAGATTACCATCCTTGTTTGCTGGGGCGCATGTCTCCTGGACCTCGCTTTCATTTGGTGGTATTGTAAGAGGATGAACAAGAAAAAGGAGCGGGAAAGGGCTGAGCCTGGATACATCAAGCTGGAAAACCAGGAGTAAGTGCTCTCTCACTGTTCTTTGCCGGTCCTTGCCCAATGCTCTGTCTGCAATTCCACCCAGAGGTTTTGTTGGGGGTTGAGATAGACGAGCGACGGCGAGGTTGGTTGTGGTGAGGTGCCGGTGACATGTCGATCGGTCAACATTCTTTTTCTGTCTTTGGGGCTTTCATCCGACTCACTTTTTGTTCTTTGTTACCATCGGCGTCGTCCGGGTGTGCAACGCAATGCAATGGCTTACTCGTGTTCTGCGCAGGTGGCTCGATCTGACCGACAAGGAGAATCCCGAGTTCATTTACAGCCTCTGAGCCAGCAGTAGTAGCAGAGGCCAGCAGTCTCCGAGTTGAGAGTTGGTTTGACGGTTGTAGTGACGATCTGGGAACTCCTTGCTGGTAAGTGCTTGTTTGTGACCGGGAGGTGTCATGCTGGATAGTGGATAGCTGGATGCTGGACATTTTGTACAGAATGGAAAAGAAGACGGGGCGAGCAAAGACATGACCTGGCGTCGATATGCCGTGTGGTGGTCCAAGGGGGACGTAGACTTTATTGTGAGACTCTCGGGGCAAGCCTGGCTGGCAGGGGACTGGGTGAGATGTTACCTTCTGAACAGCGATATACAGAGGGACGAAGCAGGAGAGCCATCCTTGATACCAATGACTGTCTTACTCCGTTGTCATGGTGCACAGCCGTCTCTTTCTGACTAAGGATGTCTTCTTCCCCTTTTTTCCCTTCAGCCTCGTTTCCCCCGAAAGCAGTAGGCGAGGGAAAGGAGAGAAGCCTGTTGATGATACTCTCTCTTCTTCGGGTCACTTGTTCAACATTCTTCTTTGCTCGTGTCTACCCTCTCAGGGCCCTTTTGACGCTTTTGTTCGTGTAGGGTGCACCCAACTCCATTTACGTTCCCGGATAACCAGGCCGTATGCCTCCCTCATTTTCAGTTTCTCTCTCTCTCTCTCTCTCTATGTGTGTGCGTCTGAGAACCATGTCGTTCGATACATGCTTCAAGTCTCCGCTCGAAGATAGTCTCACTTATGCCTCGCCCTCGCGAGGTCCATGGCTCTATCTCTCTATATATCTAACCACAGATGCTCAGAAGCCAACTAGCACCGGTGCCGCCGAAACCGGAGTCCCATTCTCGATCAGATTAGATCTGTGAAACGTCTTTAGATCTGATAACCCCCACATATCCACTCACACACCACACCACACCTCGATGTCTCTCCATCAATTTAACCTTTACGCTTATGTTGTTTGATTCTTTTGGCGTGATCAATGACGACCACATATCACTCATGCATTCATGCATGCATGCATGTAACTGCATGGATTCTTCAGACCTGCTCATGTGTTGAGGTTTAAAGTTTTTTTCTTTGGGGAGGAGAAGCCACTTGATTGGAAAGATTACAGGGCGTAGGATGTTTGCAGCCCAACCTCCATCTCGCAAACTCCACTTTCAAGATGGAGTGGTGGTGGTGGTGGTGGTTACACAACTCGAGACGAAGAGTTTTGTCCCGGCGGAACAAGGGAGGGAGGAGGGAGGGACCAGGGCAGGGGGCCAGCAGACGAGGGGGGAGAAGATATGAGATTCATCCAATACTCTTTGATGGATTGCAAATTGATCGATCCCCACACGACTTTTCTTTCTCCCTCTCTCCTCCTTAGTCGTCGTGGGATGCATGATGCGAGGAGGGGGACTTTTGAGGCCCTGAAGGCCTGAGGGTGTCCAGGATTCAGATTCTCATCGTGATCCAATACCCAATAACAGACGACATGTTTGTTATTACGACGCTGCTCAGTGGGTTGTATTAACCTTTGTACTACCCATGTAGAAGTAAAACTCCCAAGATAGAGACGGTGTAACAAGGTTTACAAGGTTTGAAAGTTTGCATCGTACAAGGACCTCTCCTCCCTGCCCTGCCCTCCTCTTCCCTCCTTTCCACGTTGTTGTTCTTCTTGTTGCGTTGTCACAATCCTGTGTAAGGGCGAAGCAAGGCAAAAAGCCAACGGGGGCAAAGAAATCAGGCAAGAAAAAGCGTGGAGGTGGAACGCTTTATGCTTTTTTGATAGGAGAAACCTTGCCTTTGCTTGCCTTTTGCTTCAGTACCTAATAGACTTTGTGTGTTGGTTCACCTCGTATTTTTTTTTACTGGTATTCTATTCCCATTCCTATTCCTTGCCTGCTTGCCCGACTGAGACTGAGATTGACTGCCTGACTTGCCCGACTTGTCCTGCGGTACTTTGACCTTGGATTGCGAAACTCTGATTCAAAACTGGCGCGCCCATTCAGACACGGTGGATATTGGATGACCTTCAATTCTTTTCGTGCTTCTTCGTCCTTGCGCCTTTCGTCTTTTTCTTCGTTGACGGTGGGATCGTGTCGTGGCACGTTGTTACTTGCTGAACTGTCCCTTCGGCTCTCGACTACCCGAACACCCTCACCCCGTTGTCGAGAAGATCTTAACGAACCGCCAATCCACTGGCACACCCTCAGCTGAAGCGAAATCGACACCAAGGGGAGAGCCCCACGCGCAAAACGAGTGCTCTACGGACACTGAGGGCACACTGGCTAAAAGAAAGACCGGGAGGGGCCCTTTGTATCACACCGCATCACATCACATCACATCACATCACACACACACACGACTTCTAGCCAGACCTCCTTCCTCTTTTCCACCCGCCCTTCTGTAATCCTTGAAAAATCAAAGATCCTTCTTCCTCCACATGCCGATCCGCTCCTGTACATCCTCGTCCTCCCAGTCCTCGACCGACATGTACTTTTTCAGCAGGGGTTTCTTGCCCAGCCACAGAGCCAGGTAGGCGCACAGGCACTGGAACAGCCAAGGGATCCACCACCGGAGGGGCCCGAGGAAGGTTAGGCCCGGCAAGACGACCAGAGCCGTGGCGGAGATGTGTCTTCTCTATCGTTAGAAAAAAGAAAAAAAGAAATTGTAGTAGCGGGAAAGCCAAGGCCCAAGAGCGTGGGGAAGATATTGAGAGAAACTTAACTGGATCAACATGATTTGTAACGGGGAGAACGGCTCCTTGCCCTCGGCCACGTCACTCACGTACAGCAACAGAGTCTGGAAGAAGAGCCGGTCCATCTTGTCGTCCATGTCTTTGGGGTTCGGGTGTGCCCATATCAGCATCGTCGTGTCTTCCTTTGCGCTCGGCGACGGCCAGATCTGGTGAGGCATGTAGGGCGCAATGTGGTGCGGTCGAGCGGGAGGCGTGGTTTGAGGTGTGTGGATGGTGTCGATTCGTGAGTATGTCGTCGTGGTGCCGAGCTCGCCGCTGAGCACGGCCAGCGATTCGGATTGTTGGAAGTGCAGGTGGAGTGGTGGTGCCTACGGACCCGAAGGGGAAATCCATCAGCATTGTACCGCTCAACCGAAGTCCGACCGTCTTTTGGTGGTCGAGTGATGCGTCTGCTTGTGGGCAGCGAAGAGTATACGCCATCCCAGAAACGAGATAATTACAACAAGGAGACAGGGGAATCGACAGACCTGAGGATATGCTTTGCCTTTGCGACACAGCGGGTGATCATGTTTGTACGTGGCTCGCATCAACACTCTGGGGAAAGAGGCCGTCAGTAAGTGCATCAAGATTGAGATGTGTGTTCCAAAAAGAGGTGTTGGATGAAGCACCAAAATCCATGTCCAAACGATGTCTGGTCGCAGCCTTGCGCGACTGACTGACTCCCCTCGAGTTCCCCTGATTACCGAGATACCAAGGTAGGTAGGTAGATAGGTAGGTTGGTAGGGAACAATCAGCCTGGTATGTATAGGTAGGAAGCAAAGCGCCATGGTTCAATGACTGCATTGAGACTGAGACCCCTGACGGAGCCTTGTCTTGCCTTGCCATATCTTATAAAGCCCCCCTTCTGTCCCTGCTCTACTTCCTGTCCGAACTCCAGTCCCAACTCCCTCTGAATTTTATCTCTTTATTCAAATAAAAACCAACAACAACGGGAAATAGGAAAATGAAATAGGAAAATGAATGGTAGGGTATCACTGGACTGGACTGGATACTCACGAAGCCTGCCTCGACGGCTTTGGTCGGAGAAACTCGAGGATAAAGGACCCGTGGTGCAGGACGAAGGGGCCGGCGATGACGGGTTCTTCATCATCTCCTTCCTCATTGTCTCCTGTGCGGGTTCCTGCTGCTCTTGATGAGGGTGCCGCGCGCGGTGTGCTTGATGCACTGGTGCTGGTGGCGGTGTGGCGGAGGGACATTTTTGTAGTCGGCCCCTGAGCGGGAGAGGGAGTACTGTTCCAAGGGAGAATGAAGATTGAAGATTGAGGAATGGTTCTGCGCTTTCGCTCGTTTGATGGATATAATTATCAATTGTATAGAGATGTAGATATATATATATGTACATAACAAACAAAAGTCCTAGTACTCAAAAGTACGAGGTAGTCAAGTCACAGCTCGCGAGGCTCCTCCGACCTCAGGTACAAGGCCCAGACAGCCATGACAGGGCTTACCACGCTTACTTGGCTAAGTAACCACGCCGCCGTTAGCTCCAGGGACAAGACAGGACAAGACAGGACAGGGCAGGTGGCGGCGGAGGAGGGGGCCGCTATTCATCATCATGAATGGCACCTAAATGGATTATTGCCGATTATTACTACTCGGTTCTTGGAGGCGATATTATGTACTCGCAGGCGATGGGACGGACCACATACCACATAGGTACCACCCAGGTACTGGATAATACTACGATACTACGAGGAGTCAAGGACGGTATGCACTCTGACCTCGTAGGGTTATATGTACTCGGTACAGTAGTTACTCCACGCTCGTTACTGGTACATGATAATATCCGGTGTCCGAGTTGGGACATTTCCATCCTAATAGTCAGGTACTCAGGTACTCAGGTAGGTAGTCAAAACGCTGGCTGGCTGACACGAACCACTCACTGCCATCCCATCCCATACCACACCCGAAATTTCGCACTGTTGGCACTTGACTTGGGGGGAGGGGAAGACGTCAAATTAACATGTCGCATTTCGCCCCATGTGGCATATTTACATGTAGCCTGGAAACCCGCTGTGACCAAGCCAGGCACAAAAAAAACTCAGGGTCATCGGTCCCAGAGCATAACCAAAAAAAAAAAAAATTAAAAAAAATCAAGAATTCTGAGCCGTGCAGGGGCCCCGTGCAAGGGCCATGAGGACAATACTAATTACCCAAGCACCAAGCTGCCCAAGCAAAAAACGCATGGACGGAAACTCTTGATCCGGCCGACGAATCGGAAATTGTCCACTTCAACGTGCCCCCCGAGTTTCTTTCTGGGTACACCAGGTCAGCGGTGAGCATCACTATCTATTTCTACGAGATACAGAATTATTAATTATCAAGCCAGACGACAAGTGGAGATGGTGAGACAATCTGATACCAGTCCCTCGTACCTCGTACTTCTCACGGACTCGCAGCCAGCACCTAACCAAAGTCCAGCATCAACCTCCTCATCTCATCCATGACCCTGCTGACCTCGTCCTCCGAAAGCATATCTTCTGGGGCAAAGACACCCATGTCTAGGTACCCGTCTTCAACTCTAGCCTCGATATCAATAGCAGGCTGCAGAGACAAAATATCAGTCAATCAGCCAGAACAGAGCAAGGAGATGTGAGACGGGATGAACTTACCAAGCACCACTTCGTGCTATCCGCATTACACTCCATGCCGTCCATAAAAGGCGACGGCGCGTCAACCCCCTCAAATTTATCCTTCTTCCCCGAGGTTTCCGCATGGGTGATTCGAACGTTGCTCGCTTGGTCTCCAGACGATGATGAATCCTCATCACTTGGGAGGGATAAGAAATTGACAAACGTGTCCAGCTTGACTCCCGTCCACGTATTAATGTCCCTCATATCCACTCCGCAGTTCTCTGGCCGCGTGATTTCTCCCAGATCATGCTGGATCTGTAATGCCGACTGAAGAAGGGTCCCCCCAGATCGGATTCTCAATGGAACGATGCTGAATGTCGGAGCAAGTAGTTCCATGATCCCGTCGATATCAAGCGACCGGTTTGCAAGATAGACCCCAATCACAACATCCGATTTGGTATCTGTCGACTGTTGTTCTGTACCCAGGTGGCAACGTATACCCTCGTAAATCCTGGCATATGCGGCGAAGAAGAGTGCTTGAATGCTAAGGCCATGATGCTTTAGCTGCTTGATCAATCCCTCGAGCGGCACTAGTTTGGGATGGAATCTCTCAACGCGCCTTGCTGCGAATGAACCCCGACCCATGGGTTGAAGTGTACCTTCACCTTCGCCGAGATAACGCGTCCAGAATTCTTGAGCCATCGACCGAGATGCTCGGTTGTTCGAGATCAGAGTGCTCATATCCGTGTTGCACTTGGTCTGTGCGGTACCAGCACACAATCTCTCGAAGCGTGTGATCAGCAGCTGGAGACTCACAGCATCATACAAGGCGTGGTGGATGCGAAGTGTAACAAGCAATTCATCTCCTCGGACGTCGAATCGCACTGCCCAGGGGAAGCCATAGTTTGCCACTGCCTCGCTCTTGACGACCACTTGAAATGTTTCTGGCCATCCACCATCACTCTTGTGGATAAACAAAGTCCTCAGTATCGGAACTTCATCAACAAGCCTTTTCATTCCCTGCCTCAAATCCTCCAGCGAAACACCGGACGCTTTCAGCCAGAAAATGGGGAAGAACAAGCGCCCATTGCTTGCTCTCCACATATCAAGCATGTACGTTTGACCCGCGGTACATGGTATGATCATCTCGAGATCCTCCTCTGGTATTGTGAGGCCCCCCTTGATGTTCTCCGGAACAAACGAGATCTCCGCAAACCCGTTAGGTGTACGGGCCGTCTCCTGACCTGCGCGTTGGAGCTGTTCAGCAGCCACGGCCATCTTTTCAACCGTCTGTGATCTAATGATCGCGCTTACTGGAAGCCTAATGCCCTCTTTTCGGAGCAGAGTAGCAACTTTGATGGCGCTGACGCTATCCAGGCCGAGGTGGAACAGGCCCGTATTCTTTTTAATGTACTCTCTGTCCAAGTGGGATACTTTTGCAAGGACATCCCTAATGGCAGCCTCGGTTGAACTCCAGTTTTCGGGTCTGTGGGACTGCTGCTGATCTTGAGCAATGTGAGACGTCTTCCTTGGCCTGTCGCCCTTGCTGCGGATTAGATCTACTCCTGGGAGACCGCATATTGACACCTTTCCGCCTTCTTTGCCCAGAAGGTCTTGGTCAGGATTTCTCACCAGAGCTGCCAGGATAGTATCCAGTTTTTCCAGCACTGTCTGTCCAAATTCTTGGCTGGTAACTCCATCTTGGCATGCGAAAGTCCAGATCAGACCCTTTGCATCGCCCTCCAATTCAACATTGACAGGATACGGCGGCGTGATGGCTGTCTCGTCGGGCGTGACTTCGTTGTACAATGCTGGGAGCTCACGTTCGACAGTTGGAAGTTTTTGAAAGGTGAATAAAGTATCGAATAAATCTTCACTCACTCCTTGTCCTCGTGCCAGACGAAGAGCCTCACGTAGTGGAAAGTGCTGATTTTCCGAGACCCGCACAACTGCATCGTGCACTCTCCGGATGGCCTCTGCCTTGGTCATATTATCGTGAATGAGAGGTCTGAAAGCGACAGTGTTGAATGTTGGGAAGATCAGTTGATCCGAGCCCTCGGTTGTGCGCCCGGAAAGAACAAGCCCGAAGCATACATCCACCTGGCAGGTGTAGTGAATAAGTGCCATTGTCCAGCATGCAAGCCCCAAAGTCTGGAGCGTCACTCCTTGCTGCCTGCAGAAGTCGAGGGCTTTGGTTAAGCTGGTCGTGGACTGCTTGCGCAACAAAAACGCTGAGCCGTGGTGACTGTGATCATCGAGGGCCGCTTGTAGAGTGGTGGGTTGGATATCCCGCAGTTGAGACTCCCAGAACTCACGAGCCTTTGAGCTCTCGCCTTGTGTGATGATCTCCTCGAGGTGCTCCCTATATTGATCCAGGGCCGCTCCTCGGGCTCTGCTATGCGGGAACTGGTAGGTCTCAGTCACCTCCTGGTGCAGTAAGTGCAATGACCAGGCGTCGTACAAGGCATGCGGCATGGCAAGAACAAGAAATGAGGCAGTTTCATCGCGGACAATAGTGATACGAGTCCTTTGATCGACCAGTTGTTGCTCGTCTGGAACGTTTTTGAGGTTTCGGACCACATCATTCAGCTTCTCGTCAAGGACTGTCACCTCACTTCCATCCTTCACCACATATTGGAGAAAGGCCGTCTTTTTATCTGGAGACTCGACGACAGCAAAGCGCGTTCTCAAGATTGGCTCTGTCCGGGCGACTGTTTCCCACGCTTTTATCAGTCGGTTCAGATCAATGTCTGCAGCTAATTCGAAAGTCATGACATTGAGATACTTGTCAGATTCCAAGAGTAGGCCTTCCTGCATCGGTGTGACCGGAAAGATGGCTTGTACGTTGTCGAGTTCGACACCATGGCTCTGTAGCATACGTTGATAGCTGATCTGGCGTTCCTTAATGAAAGACGCCCTTTCGCGACTTGCTCTTTCGGCCTGGGTTTCCATGCTTGATGTAACCGCCGCAGCAATCCCTGCGACGGTTGGCGACCGCATGATGGTACTCACAGCCACTCTCAGACCCTTGTTCTTGACGCGAGCTGCGAGCTTCATTGCTTCTATACTGTCCAAGCCTAGTTCGAAGATCGTTGGCCTGTGACGGTGAATCATCTTTTCGTCCACAGAGGCGAGCTTGGCCATTTCCGAGCGAATGATTGTCTCTGTGTCGTTCAGTGCGGTATCGTTGTCTTCATGAACATGATTCGAGATTGTCAAGTCCGCTTTATGATCCCCACTCGGGGTCCTGGAGTCCTGTGATAGGCAAAAGTCCGGGGGTAGGATTGCGGTCATCTCTTCCGGCCTGCGAACAACGTCAAGATACATGTCTAACAACCGACTGGCGCTTTTCTTGTCCATGTATTGCGGCCTCGCAACTAGGGTGACGTCGAACTCGGAGCCGTTCTGCTCTACCTCGATATTCAGCGGATAATCTGGCGAGCTGTCTGTTGGAATCTCGCGCCAGAACGCGCGGTCCTCGACATCCGGTGCTGTCTTTTGGAAAACAAATAACGTGTCAAACAGAGTCTGGCTTGCACTTAGTCCAAGGAAGTGAACAACTTTCCTCAGAGGTGTATGTTGATACGGAATGATATCAACATTGAACTGATGGCACGCGCGGACGAGATTCGAGACTGCTGCACCATTGGTGAGAGAATTGATGGCACATGGCAGGGTATTGAACATTGGGCCAATCACATCCTCTATCTCTTCTGTGGCTGTGGCTCTGCCTGAGACTACCACACCTATTGTCGGGCTGGAGTTGAATTCTCTCTGCATCACATAGAGTAGCATAGCCTGGAAAAAGGCCGAGACTGTAACGTTCAATTCATTGCACAAGGTTTTCAAATGGTCAATGCTTAGATGATGCCTCAAGATGACAGCATGAGTATCTATCTCAAGCTCGGCATGGACCAATGGCAGCTTGTGAGGTTGGATGCGAGGGAGGTGTGACAGCCAGAATTCCTTCTCGTCTGGCAGCTGAGACAGTGGTCCATGGGGCAAGGCTTGATAGAACTGCATTTTCGGCTTCCAAGTCTCCTCTGGGTGCTGATACCGCTGCTTGACTTGCTTGAGCAGTATTGGAAGGCTGCTTCCATCATAAAGTCCATGAAATATCTGGAGTATCATGAAGCCGCCATCTCCGGACTTTCCCAATTGAACTTTCCAGGGCAAACACGTAGATAGGGACCTTGCAGATCTGACCCAGTCTCTGAAGGAGGACTTCTCGAACTTGCGAACGTCGCCATTTCTGGCTTCGCTGACGATCTTCACCCCGCTGTCGGTTTCGCGCAGCACAACTTGAGCAAAGCCATCTTCTGTTGGTACGAAGAATGTCCTGAGGATAGAAATCGACCGCTGGGAGGCATCCCACGCACTTTTCAGTCGCTGTATATCGGTGTTTGAATCGAGCTGAAAGAGGAAGCAGGAGAAATAAACTGTATCGTTAGGGTCGGCCTGCATTACCCGGGAAATCATGCCTTCTTGTAGTGGCGTACAAGGTGCGATGCACTCAATGCTTTCTAGGGAGACGTTCATGCTTTGTGCGATTGTTCCATTGTGGATGTTACTGAATGATTGGATTTTCTGGCGAGCAGTGTCCACGATGTCGTTCTGGTGTGAAGTGGCCTCCCGCGTAATGATTTGGGCAAGATCTTGGACGACAGAGTGCTTCAGGATCGTTCCCACTTCCGCGTTCTGGAATCCCTGGCGCTTGAGCGCTCTAGCGAGACCGATGGCTGAGATGGAGTCCAGCCCGAGTTCGAATAGTCTCGAACTTGGCTTGATGTCTGATATTTGGATTCGCAAGAAAGATGCTAGCACACTGGCCATCTCATTGTAATGCTGAAGGCCTTCTTGCGTCAAAAAATTTCTGTCGGATTCGTCTTGCGCTGAACCAGGCAGATGCTCCTCATATATCGCTTTCAGCGATTTCTGATCAACTTTATTGTTAACCGATAAGGGAAGAGATGAGACTGCAAGAATGTGTGAGGGCACCATGTACGCTGGCAATTTGTCAGAGCAGTTCAATCGAATCTTTGTAGCCAGGTCCTGAGTCTCCTTGTTAGTTACAATCGATGGTTTCTCGTTCTTTGCCCGTCTTTGAGCTGTAGAGAAGAAAGTCACAAGCTGATCTTTCTGTTGTGTTGGATGTTTCAAGACCATGGTAGCAACGTCCTTGACGCGACTATCCGCACTGAGAGCGACATGATTGATCTCCCCGATTTCCAAGCGCTGCCCACGCAACTTGACCTGATCGTCGATTCTGCCCAGAAATTCGAAGCTGTTGTCATGCAGGAGACGGACGAGATCACCAGTTCGGTAAACCCTCGTATCATATTCAGCCAACGTTACGAATTTCTCTGTTGTAAGGTCGGGTCGGTTGAGATATCCCTTTCCAACAAGAGGGCCAGACAAACAAAGCTCGCCGATCGCCCCACGGAGAACGGGAGTCTGCGACGAGGGCTCCAAAACGAAAGAGCCTACGTTGTCCCATTGTTGACCAATATTGGTTGGCTTCGCAGTCTTGGGTACTTGCCGGTGTACTGTGCAACCGATCGTCACTTCACTTGGCCCATAGAAATTGTAAAGACAACCCGTATCGCCCCAGGTCTCCAAGATATCCTGCCCGACTTGCTCACCGCCAACGATAAAGACTCCCTCGCATAGATTCGGCACTTCTTGGGGCGTGAGTAGCCTTGCCAAACTGGGGGTCAGGTCGAGATGAGTTATCTCAAGGGCGTTGATAGTCCCTGGAAGATCCTCGAACAAGAGATCTCGGGGTGCCGAAGTTACGATGATGCCTATGCTCCAGCTCCAGTATTGTTCAAGCACACTGACGTCGAAATGAAAGGACGCGAACTGCAGCCACCGGGATGATTCCTTCCATCGACCATCGAAAATCCGCTGGAAAGACAACATTGCCTGGACCGCGCTGTCATGGCTGATCAAGCATCCTTTGGGTGTTCCTGTAGTTCCCGAGGTGTACAGACAGTAGCAGACATCTTGTACTTGCAGTTCCTTCGAGAGTGAAGGCTTTTCGCTCGACAACTCCTTCCAACAGGCATTGTCAATGGCGAAACTACAAACGCCTGGAATGCTGTCAAATTCCGAGACCTTATCGTCAGTTGTGAGGACAATTCCACAGCCAGAATCGCGGAGGATGAATTCCTTTCTCGAAGTTGGCGCCCCGGGATCAATCGCAATGTAACCGCATCCTGATTTGAGAACCCCCAATATTGCAAAGGAGGCTTCGGGACATTTATCAAAACAAACAGCCACGAGACTTCCAACTTCTATGCCTTTGCTCTGGATCAGTCGAGCGATTTTGTTTCCATTCGAGTCCAACTGGGCATAAGTCCAAGTTTGCTTTATAGGGGTGTTCCTGTGAATGGTTTGCACAAATTCCAGGGCAATACTGTTGGGTTTCTCTCTTGCTGTCCGCTCCACAAATTCATGCAGGTAGCGGACCGTGGTCGGAATCCGTTCTTCTTTTGCAGGCACGATCGACAGGACAGATTTTGGCAGCGTCGAATTAGATGTCGTTTGTGCGAGCAGGACTTTCATCTGTTCTTCGAATTCTTGAAGGATATACACGGCTTGATCCGGTGGTATCACCTGGTTACGGAAAGTTGCCTGAAGATTCAACCCGTCGTTCTCTTGGGGTATGAGCTCCAAGGAGAGTGTATATTCTGCAGTTGCATCGTCTTTGGCGAGCGTCCACGGCCTCTTTGGGCCTTCGTCTGCATCGTATTTTTGCAGAACGATCACAGTATCGAACAGATCGCCTTCAGCCTGCACCCAACGCTTGATCGAGCTTAGTGGAGTATGCTGGTGTTTCAATATACCAGCGCATCGCTTAACGGCTGATTGTAAAAGATCACTCCTGTCTTGAGAGAGTCTCATCGCAAACGGGACGGTGTTGATACAAGGGAACGCTGCCTTGTTTTCCTCTTCCTCGGAATCCCGACCGGAGAGGATGACACCAAATGTGACATGATCCTGGCCAGTGTATGCCGAAAGTAATACAGACCAAGCTGCAGCAACCAAAGATTGCATTGTTGCTCCAGCATTTGCGCATGCATCCTCGAGGGTTTTTAGAGATAGACTGCACTGCCGAGTCGCGACGCAATAGTTGTCAACCTCTAGATTGTATACCCCCAACTCTGGAAAGCGAGTTGGGCACATATCAGCCGATACTTCCAACCAGAATGGCTTGGAACTTTCGTCTCTGCTCAAGCCTAAGATTTTTGAGACGACTGGAGCAAGAGAAGCACCAACGGGAAATTCGAAATCCGCATACGCACGTGCAACATCGGCCAATATGATATCTAGAGAATGTGCATCGTACAGAGCGTGCAGCATGGATAGTTCAAGGTTCAGAGCGGAGCCATTTTTGGTCACCCGAATGAGCCATGGTGGTTCAGTGAGATTGTCCATGTTTCTTGATTTGGCTTCACCTCTCTCTTGGGGTATTTGCACTGAATCGTCAACCCAAGGTAGCTGTACTGCATCTGGTAGATAGGTTATCATGACGAATGGAGTCTGGGGATCGTCGGTCTCAGCGAAACCAGTCCTTAGCATTGCGTGTCTTTGCATAGCAAGACTCCATGCATGCTTTAATCTTGGTACATCCACGTCTTTATCCAAGCCGAAATGCATGTGATTGAGATAGAGCATGTAACTCGATCGGAGGAACTGCGAAAGAATCCCTGATTGAGTAGGTGTGCAGGGCCATATGGACTGGACATGAGTCTCGTCGAGGCCGTTATTCTGACAGATAGATCGGCGACAACGCTTTTCGTAGGACTCAAGGTCAAAAGTCGCATGCTTGGAGTCTCGTGGCGCCCCTGAATCGCATATTTTGGCGATATTTCCGAGGCTTGCAGCTTCCAAAATAGCTCCAGTCGATATGTCGAATCCGCTTTTCCGCAGCCGTGCTGCAATCTGTACGGCATTAATGCTGTCGAAGCCAAGACTGAATACTGTCGTGTCTCTGAAGATCTTTGAATGCGAACCAGGCTTCAATTGGACGAGTATGTCCCTCACCAATATTTCCGTTCGAGACAGTGTTTCATTGATGTGCCCCGGTGCATCAAAGGAGTCTGTGGGTGGTGTGGAGGCAAGAACAGTGAATGGCGTAGAAGCCTGTAGTCGTGGCAACATGCCAGCAATAAATGAATGATCCAATGTTCTTGACTGCGGATATCTGGCCGTGTGGATGAGAAGGGCGTCGTACATGTCCAGAAATCGACCGAGTATCTTCTTCTCAGCTACTTCAGAGTGCAGTCTCAAGGTGATGGCATCGGCCTGTGAATCCATCGTAATCTCAAGTATGAAAGGGAAAGACATATCCCCTGATTCCTCAACCAGAGTCCAAACCTGATGGTCGAGCCGCAGTCCGTCTTGTTGGAGCAGAAGAAGTGTATCAAATAACGTTCTGCCTTGGGTGTCTACGGCTCGCTGGATTCGACGAAGCGAGCTCGACTGATGTGGTAGAGTCTCGACATTTATCTGCTGAAAGCCCTTGCACAATTCTTGATTCGATTCGTCTGGGCGCAATTGTACTCTGGTTGGAACTGTGTTGAAGCATGGAGCGACCAGCGTTTCCACACCGTCGATAGGAAGGTTCCGACCGCTAAGGACATTTCCAAAGCAGATATCCTGACTACCAAAGAGGCGAGAGAGAAACCGACCCCACGAAGCTTGAAATAGAGCCAATGGAGTCGAATGTATCTTTCGCGCACATCGTTGCACTTCTGAGACAGACATCGCAGACCATCGTTCAACCAACAAATGAGTGCCAGGAGCAGCCTTGTCCTCAGGCAATATGGCTTCACTTAGTTTGTATACTGTAGCTCCCTGTAGCTTTCTCCGCCAGAAATCATATGTATCATCCGTGTTCGACATCTCCATGAACGACAGATAGCTATCGAAGGGGGTTGTCGGAGCCGGTTGGTGACCGTGGTACAGGGATTGAATCTCGTCTAACAGAACGGCCATTGCCTCTGCGTCGTATAGACAGTGGTGCATTCTCAGGATTAGCTCTGTCTTCCCTCTGACTTCAAGGCTCCATGGAGGGACCATGAGACCCTCCAAATCATAGCTCAACTGTTGGGTATCTTCTTCAAACCAGGGAAGCTGGAAATTCTTCAAGACTGCTTGCACAAAAGGAGAATCAGCGGAGTCAGTTGCGACAAAGCCTGTACGAAGGATCTGGTGTCTTGCTAATGCGTCCCCCCAGGCATGTCGTAACCTCGGGACGCTGCCACTGACATTGAAGCGCAGAGTGTTCCGATAGGCTCGAGAAGAAGTATTCATCGAGCTGATGACCATAGATTCTTGTAGAGGAGTACAGGGAAGGATCCTCTCGACTTCCAGGCCAGCCCGCGAATACAAACTGCGGATTTCCTCTTCCCACTTTTCAGGGAAACGACCCATATTATTCTTGCCGTTACATGGATTGTGCTGCGGAACATGTTTCTCAATGTATCTCCCTAGTTGTGAGATGGATGGGTTCTGCATCAACGAGGATATCTCCACCATAGGATAATGGTCTCGCAGTGCTCTTGAGACGCGTATTGCGCTGATCGAATCCAGACCAAGGGCATAGAAAGAGGTAGTACGGCTGATATTTGCAAGGCTGACTCCAAGCGCATCGGCCACGGCACGGGCAAGAATTTTCTCGGAATAGGAGAGTTGATCAACACCTTCTGGCTTGCTGCCTCTAGACGTGGCTTGGAGCTGTTCTGTGCTGAGATTTTGATAATGGGAGATCAAATCCGAGCGATTGATCTTTCCCTGGCGCGTCAGAGGTATCTTGTCAAGGTGGATGAGGCTATCAGGTATCATGTAGTCTGGCAAGCTATTTGCCAACGTTTCGAAGATGGTGGCATTCATGTCGTCGGGGTCTGCAGATCTGTAGGATTGGCGTGGTGTCCAGAAAGCAACCAGACTCGCACTTTCATTTCCTCTGGTAACGACCAGGGATACCGCATCTTCAACTTGACTGCACCTCACCAAGGCGGAATTGACCTCTCCTAGTTCAATTCTCTGTCCCCGGAGCTTGACCTGGTCGTCCTCGCGACCTAATACGACTAAGGAATCATCGCAAAGAAGCCTTCCGATGTCGCCTGAGCGGTAGAGCCGACCATATTCAGGATGATCAAAGAAGCTCTTCGAGGTCAGCACCGGATCGATATATCCGCGTCCGACCTGTTCTCCCCCGATCCATATCTCACCTACACCTCCCTTGATAACTTGCTGAAAATGCAGGGTGGACTGGTGACGGGATGAATCAGTGGTACCGGACTGCTTCGGGGTCTGCCTTTGGCAAATGAAGACGGATGTGTTCAGCAACGGAGGACCAACATTATTTGGCAGGTCGGATTTCGAGACCTTGGGGCGGACGTTACATATGTTTGTTGTCTCACTCGGACCGTAGCCTTGGTACAGTCCACGGTCAGCCCAATCCGAGAAAACTTTCGAGTTCATAGGTTCTCCAGCAGTAACCAGCAATTTCACCTTTGGGACGTTGTCAGGTCGAACAAGAGCAGCTACCGAAGGCGTCATGCTCAAATGCGTGATATCCAGCTGTTTGATGAAGAATTCCAGGTCTCTAAACAGCACATCATTTGACGCTGTGCACAAAGTTATACCTTTGTGCCATGCCCAGAAGATCTCAAAAACCGAGACGTCGAAGGCTGGTGAGCAGGCTTGAAGCAGTCGATCCGTCTCGGGGTGGCAGGGGTAAATACGTGACAACTCCTCCAGATTGCTGAGCAAGTTTCGACGGCTGAGGAGGACGCCCTTCGGAACACCAGTGCTGCCAGACGTGAATACAGCGTATGCTAATTGATCACTTTTCAAAGACCGGTGGTTATCAGTATTTGTCATGGAATTCTGTTCCAACACGCTGGCAATGGAGACAGGCGTTGGCGCATCTATCTCGTTCGATAAAGGCACATCCCCGGTGAACAAGGTAAGCCTGCATTTGGCTTCGCTCAAAATTTGGCGAATTCGAGCAGCGGGCGTTCGCGGGTCGATGCACATATAAGCGCCCCCAGCTATGATGGTCCCGAGGATGCCAATATATAGTTGAGACGATCGAGGGCCTATCAGACAGACAAGATCGTCAATCTGCACGTTGTACTTAGTCTGTAACACCCGGCCGACAATCCGGGCGCGTTTGTGGAGGTCTCCATAAGTGAGGATTTCCTTTGTCACCTGGCTCGTACGCTCGTCGATACTAAGCACGAATTCGACGGCTGCTCTGCCTGGACACGATTCTGCAAGACTTGAGATAGTGGTTGTCAGATCAAAGTCTTCGCTGAACTTTCGGAAGCTCGTGTTGGTCGAGGACAAGGTGTTCTTGTCAAAACTTTCCCAGAAGTAGTTCAGACTAAGGTCAAGGTTGCTCACGATTCGAGAGGCAGCGTTGTCCAACTGATGAGTTATAAGCCTTGCTTGATCTTCTGGAATAAGGTCCGTGTCGAACGTCAACTTCAAATAGACCTGACCTTGACGGGGTTCGAATTCTAGCACAATGGCATAGTCCAAGGTATCTTGCGATCTCAGGCTTGCAACTTTGGAACGATCCCTATCATCCACTTCGCTGTCTTGTTGCCAAACACACAGCGTATCGAACAACCTGTCCCCATGGCGGAGACCTGCTGCATTGTTGATGTTCCTTAATGTAATGCTCCCATGTCGAAGAAACTGGTTGCGTTGCCTTTGAACGTAATTGAGGACATCATGTACCGTCCTTAGAGCACTGACATCCATGCGGAGAGGGAATAACGAGAGACACGGCCCAATGATGGATTCGATCCCTGCCAGTGAGAAATGGCGACCAGCCACAACCACTCCGACTGCGACGTCGGCGCTATCGAGATACGATGAGAGCAAAAGTGACCATGCCGCCTCCAAAATCGTCTCTCGACTGCACCGCGCAATTGACGCAAAGTGAGAGAGCTGTTCATAAGTTATGGCGAGTGGCGACTCTGTGGTTTTTCTGGGTGTTCTCTCCAGTCGAACAGGTGTTAGCATCGGAAATGCTGAGGGCTTGAAGTCCTGCAGTTGATTTCGCCAATACTCAACATTTTCTGTCTGCTCCGACCTCAAGCGATCGTGCTCGCTCGAGCGAAATTCGGAAAATTGAGTCCTGACGGGCGCGTTTTCTCCAGAGAGGATGACATTCAAATCGTCTAGGATCAAGTCCCAAGACCATCCATCATACAACGCATGGTGAATCCATACCAAGACATCTCTTTCATCCTCTGTTCCGGCATTTTCCAGCTTCAAGGGGTGCAGAATACTCAATTCAGGGTCGTCTGAGAGGTCTCGCCACACGACTTGAGCAAAGGGCATCTCTTGTTTCCCGGTCGGGACGAATCCGGATCGCAAGATCTCATTGTTCCTTGAAAGCTTTTGAAATGCCTGGCGCAAGTGTTGCAGTGTCAGACTCGACCCGAGTTTGAGCCAAATTCTGTTGAAATTCTGATCTTCTTTTGCGGCGGTTTCAACTAGCATTGCAACCTGCATGTTACTGCAGGGCAATATCTTTTCATAGGGCAGTTTGGGGCTCGAGTTGTTCAGGTCATGTATCACTTTTGCCGTGATGCGTTTCCATTCGTCTGAAGTTGCGTAGTCAGGCTGTGTCCTTTCACTTGTTGCATCTTTTGACTTGGTGATAAGACTTGAGAGCGTGGCCACATTGTCGGCTTCTGAGATCATCGCGGCATTGACACAGTTGTACTGTTGGCGTAATCGAGACGCAATCTTGATGGTTCGGAGAGAATCAACACCCAATGACCAGAACGAGGTCAGCCTGTCAACTGGGCATCTCAGCTCATCGCTCAATACTCGGCCTACATTCTCCTCTACCGAGTTCTTAAAAGAGGGTTCGTGGGTGATTGACACCCGGCGTTCTCGATAGTTTCGTTCAAGTGCTTTGCGGTCAATCTTCCCAGAAGGTAGTCGAGGCACATTGTCGTCGAGCAGCACAATCTCACCTGGACGCATGTAGGGTGGTAACCATGCCTTGCATTGGTCGGAGACATTGGAGACCTTGACATTATGATCTGCAGCGCAAAAAAGGACGAGGACGTCGTCAATGACGCTTGCAATGGCAAGGTGAACACCATCGGTCTTCGAGGCAATCTCTTCAATTTCTCCCAATTCAACCCTCTGACCTCGGAGTTTGACTTGGCCGGAGGTCATGCGTCCCAGGATCTCAAGCTCCCCATCAGGACGGCAAATTGCTCGATCTCCGGTTTTGTAGATTGGCCCGTAGCCATCAAGTTCAACAAACGCAGCTTGGTTCTGCTCCGGCCGATTCAGGTATCCATCAGCAAGCTGACCTGCAACCGCCAGCTCCCCAGGTTCGCCAACTGGTGCGATTCCAAGCGCTTCGCCTTCCTTGAGGATAAAAGCTGTGACCGTGGACAGCGGTCTCCCAATCCTGCGTACCGATGCATCAGCCGCTAGCTGGGGTGCCACAGTGCAATGTATCGCCGCCTCCGTAGGACCATACATAGCATACAGCATGCTCGCCTTATCTGTGCTTCCTCCGAATTCGGAAACGACTTGAGCTGTAAGCATTTCACCAATTGTCAGTAGCGTCTTTAAGCAAGGGGCAGCCTTTCTGGTTCTCAATAACGTCCCCGCGACCGTGGGGGTGAGTTCCGCAGCGTCCGCATCCAAGACTTGGATAGTGGCAGGTAAATCAGTAAGCATTCGCTCACGGTCGCAACCCACTAGTGTCGCTCCCCGGAAAAATGGAAAGAATATCTCAAATATAGAGACGTCGAACGTTGGTGAAGCAAATTGTAAAAAGCGTTTAAAGAGAGGGATATGCTCGTCATGCGCAAGCAATGACTGTGACACTGACAAATGCGATACTACAACACCCTTGGGAAGTCCTGTAGAGCCTGAAGTGTACATGACATACGCTGGACTGGAGGGTGTGATGCACTCGTGGCTTTGAGGACGGGCATCCTCCGCCTGCGCCGAACGCGATGTCCGTTCGAGTGCTTCCAAAGATACAGTCTTGCATTGGACGGTTGACAGTGCATCCTCAAAAGCAGCCCTTGTGGTGGTGGTCGCCAGCACGAAGGTTGACTGCGTATCTTGGAGAATAAATTTCAGTCTCTCCGGAGGTACATCTTGGCTGACAGGGCAGAAGGCAGAGCCAGACTTCAATACTGCCACCAATGCCACGTATAATTCTGGTGACTGAGGGATGATGACAGGAATTATGCTTCTTCTATCCCTTTTGGGCGAGATATACTCTTGGATATCCTGAGACAGGAGGTCCGTGAGGCGATGGAACTCGTCGTAGGTAAGAGCAACGCGTCCATTGTCCGCCAGTAGGAAGTCTAGAATGAGATTATCAGAGGATGTCGCTATCAGCTCGTGCAGTAACTGTGGCCCAGGTAGTAATTGACGATGTTTGTTGACAATTGAGAGCTCGTGAGGAGGATGGTAGCCATTGACGAGCGACGGCATATTGGTCATTGGCGACGGTAATGAAGAGCTTTGAGAGAGATTAGTATGAACGAGCGAGAGAAAGGAGAGACAGAGCTTTTGCGTGTGCGTGTGTGTGAGTGTGAGTGTGTGAGATGCGTGGGTGCAACACTTGTTACAGTATTCAATGACACACCACTAGACGAGGGAGTGAAGGCGTTTGATCGGCAACGTCATGTAGAGCTGTTGCTCCGATGTCTGTGTCTCTTGGCCTACCCTGGTCCGCTCTGGTGAGCTCTGGATCAAGGATCTTTTGATGGTGGACGAGGTAGCATTGACTGCGTGGCTGCTCAAAGCTAACCGCCGAGAACGTGATGGAAGTGGAAGGTGATCTCGACAACGGAGCCCCTCATGCTCATCGCAGGCAAAGGTGCACCTCTACCATTCTCTTGTCAACGTCAATGCGGGCACAGCCAAGCTGCTCTTCATGCATTACTGTCAATCGAATACTCGGTCCACTCGACAAACCTGGTCCGCTTAAAGTCACAGGAGAAAGAAAAAAAAAATTAGTTTCATGCTCAAAGCCTCGTCTGATGTATGCCACGGTCGCTATGAGAGAAACAGCGGGGCTTTTGTCCACATCGCCTGGGCCCTAACGGTCCCTCACGGTCCCTCCACCTGCGACAATCCAAACTAAGTGGTCCAGGCCAGACTCCGACATCATGCCGTGACAAAAGATTATCAGATAATCTCCCCGATTATCAGATAAAATTTTCCCTCCGCAATCGGATCTAATGTACTTGGGGCCAGGGCAACAGGGGGAAGAGATGGCGTGACGTATTCATGGACAAGGATGTTTGGATGCATGTGTGTTTCATTGCCCACCACGATCCTCCAATACCATCTCCATCTCATCGCATCGACCAGTGGCTGCTGGGTGGATGATCGGGTCATTGACCAGACACACCGGTGGAGGGACAACAGCTGCCACCCAGCTGCTAGTCACCGCAGGGTAATTCATTATTACCGGACGATTCCGCGTCGATGTCTTGATGGCTTCAACCTTGCCACCTGCACCAATACAGAGAGCCTGGTGAGCCCCTCTTCCCCTAGTCGTTACTCAATTATACACACCGAGTACTTGATTGATCTATGATCTAGCATCTATTCCTAGCTTCAAATGCCATTGCTTTCCTCTCTTGAGAAAGCTGTCGCACAACCCGATCTGCTTTTCTTTCTGTCATTGTCTGGAACTTGATCTCCCCCCAGGTACCTCACCTTACATTGTATTGCTACTTGTACTCGACCTCCTTTCTCATGGCTCCGGGGATTCTGTCCAGTACCAATGGACACGACCATCACTCAGACCCGGCGAGCCCCACGAACGGCGTCAATGGCTGGACTTCTGAGTCTTTGAGCAACGGGCAGCGCACAGACCTCGCTGCACCTGGCTTCTATTCTGCTGCTCCAGGAGAGGTCAACGACCTTGTATGCGTGGGCTTTGGGCCAGCCTCTCTCGCCATTGCGGTCGCGCTCCATGATTCGCTGCGCGCTCAAAAAGCAGCCAACCCTGAGGTCGCCACTCCCACCGTCCGCTTCTTGGAAAGACAGCAGACGTTCAAATGGCATGCGGGAATGCTGCTTCCCGGCGCAAAGATGCAAATTTCATTCATCAAAGATCTTGCCACCCTGCGAAACCCCACAAGCCAGTTCACTTTTTTGAACTATCTCAAGGAACACGATCGACTGGTGCAGTTCTCCAACTTGGGCACCTTCTTGCCGTCTCGGCTGGAGTTTGACGACTATCTGCAGTGGGCAGCACGCCACTTCGAGCATGTGGTCGAATACAGTCAAGAGGTCGAATCGATCCTCCCACGCAGACTGTCTGGGACGGACAAGTATGACTGCTTCGAGGTAGTGTCACGGAACCTCGTCACCGGCAGAACTATGAGCTTCCTAGGCCGAAACGTCGTGATAGCGGTGGGCGGGCGACCTGCCAGGCCGGCGCTATTTCCACCCTACCATGATCGTATTCTGCACTCATCTGAATACAACACGAGAATCAGCCGGGTGTTGCCAGACAGGGACCAGAATTACAGCATTGCTGTCGTGGGTGGCGGCCAAAGTGCTGCCGAGGTCTTCAATGATCTCCATCACCGCTATCCCAACGCCACAACCAGGCTCATCATTCGAGACTCTGCGCTCCGGCCAAGTGATGACTCACCATTTGTCAATGAAGTCTTCAATCCAGAAGCAGTCGATACTTTCTTCGACCAACCAGAAGATATACGGGCTGAGAATGTGAAGAGGAACAAGGCCACCAATTACAGTGTTGTGCGGCTCGAACTGATTGAGAAGCTTTACGACGATCTTTATCTCCAGGGAATCAAGCAACCAGACAAACGTCTGTGGCAGCATCAGATTTTGCCATTGAGGGAAATCTCGGCAGTGGTGACTGATGGACCTAACAAACGGGTCGAGCTGGTCCTGTCCGACCTCAACCCGTTGAACGTAAACGGTGAAGAGAAGCTGTCGGTCGATGCCGTCGTGTTAGCCACTGGCTATCAGCGTGATGCGCATGTCGATATGCTTAGAGCTTGTCAGGATATCAATTCGAGATCGGATGGGCACTGGCAACCAGGACGTAACTACGCTTTGAAGTTGAATCGTGCAGCTGTGCAGGATGGCACCGGTATTTGGCTGCAAGGATGCAATGAGGCCACGCACGGCTTGTCTGATTCTCTGTTGTCAATTCTATCCACTCGAAGTGGCGAGTTGGTGGATTCCATCTTCGGAATCAACGCGAATCCCAAACATCACTGAGACAAGGCTGGTCTTAAAGTATGTACCTTTCGCGAGAATATCGAGAACGATGCAATTCATTCCTTTTCCTTGGTGAGCGAGAAAAGGAGTCCAAGACAGGCAGCTCGGCGGCAGCAGGTTGAAGACGAGTCGATGTTACGTGGTGGGTGGTTATGAACATGGGTATTTGATTAGTGGTAGACCGGCGAATATCCCTTGCACCGAGCCTGTTGCTCCCAAACTATTAGCGCTTTTTTCTTCTCTTGTTGTAATAGACGTTTCCTCAGCAGAGTGCCAGTCCCGGAGGAGCCGATGCCCTTGTCTACATAGTTGTGGAGGGTCCAATAGAGGCTGCCGACAGTTTTGGCGGAGGTCGAAACGCACACAAGTCATAGGTTGGGGGAGCGCCACCTCCGCAAAGAGGTTACAGGTCTGGAGGCGCAGATGCCTGATGGAAGCGGCTTAGAGACGAGGTTATGTCCATGCCCGTTGGTCAGTCCTTGTGCAAGTTCCCGGGTCAGCCAACTGCCGTCCGGAGAAAAGGCGCAGGAGGGTGGACTAGCTGGGCTTCGAAGCGGTCGCCTCGTAGAGACAACATCTTGTCCTCATTTTCAAACTGCTACGAGGGAAAGTGAATCGGCCGTAGGGTCAAGGAGAGACGTGAGGTGTGAAGAGAGGCAAACCCGACAAACTGCTCCTAATTTTCTGGATTCGGAATCTCAGTCTTTGAACCTCGGCATGCAATTCAGTGGCCAGTGGCTGATGATCATTGCCGGCGCCCCAGTCACGGCTCTCCAAGTCAATTTATTTGACCCTCAAACTCTGCCCACTCTGACAGCTGCCATGTTCATACTTTGAGGAAGAGAATCGGACCATCCCCTCAAAACCCCTCTGTTGCGCATGGACATTCAATCTTCCCCTGTTGTCGATTGAGTGGACATGGACAGTCTCGAACATGAATTCGAGCATCCTAAGAAACGCCGGCGGCGTGAAGTCGAACGGAAACCGCTAAGCGTTCGACTGGCATTTGACGACACAGTCAAGACCCATGCTGCCCTGATATCCCAGGGACTTTGGTCGAAATTGACGGGCGGTACTAATGGTATGACGGACTCACTTCGAGTCCTCCCAAGCTGATACGAAGGAACATGCTGACGAGGATCTATAGATGCACATAACTCGACGAACAACCTGTTCATTGCCCTCACTCCTTCGTCCCCTCTCCATACCGAGCTGCAAGATTCTACATGGACTATCCTCCCAGTAAAACTCCGTGAGCCACAATCTTCGACAGACGGCTTGGAACAGGCCGACATCATCAAGCTTTCCCCAAACTCCTCTGCGTGTCAATCGATCCTCAAGACTTACGCGACAATCGACCGAGATCGACATCCGGGCCATGTTCCCAAGTCAATCGAGATTCGGGCAATCGCCACGAGACCTCTTACACTAGAAACCATCTATGTTTCCGTTGAGAAGGGCATGCTTGAGAAAATCGATGACATCCAGGCCAAGTTTGGTGGAGGTTTTCAATATGGAAGGCATGTGAAGGTCGACAGGAAGTCCTCGACGCCCAATGGTGTGTTGCAGAATGTGCCTCCAATTACCGGTCGACTAGCATCGCTTGTCCGAGATGCGCTTTCTCAATTACCTGTGGTTCATTCTGGAGATGTCTTTCCTCTACCACTGCCGGCCCATCCCATCACCCATGTTCGACCACCTCCCGCCATTGTGGTCGAATGTGAGCCGGTGTCTCAAGGAAAGATCTCTGCAAAGACCAAGATCGTTCTGATTCAGACAGGTTCGTCACAAGAGAAGGCCCTTTCGAAATTGGCACCCGTTCAACCGATAATCGAAGAGTCGCTGGAAGATACTGCCGAGGACACCTCGAATGATCAGTTTTATTCGGCGGCCGAGGATAGACAGACAGAAACAGGATCAGACGACGATGATGACTTCTCTGACGAAGAATCGGGTACTGACTCAGCCCATGAGGAAAGCGACGAAGATTCCGACTCGATGGACGATATGATTTCGCTTAGCGCACCTGGGCTGCCACCACAACAGGCTGGGACGTTATCGGCCATGACTGCAGCAACTCCAAGACCTGGTGGGAAAAGAGCTACAGGCACGCATACCCCCGGCTCCCTCTACTCGAGCTTCACGTCTGTGACGGCAAGGGGTGGCAGTCGCCCGGGCAAGGTGTTCCGCACCGAGGCCCTCCTTCGCAAAGTTCCAAT